GGCCGCATAGGTTTGGAAAGTTACAAATATCCCAATGCCAGAGTCCTGGGCACATCTCCCTGCCCTGCTTCCCTCCCCAGCCTTTCCTCAGGCACCTCAAGTCTGTGCCTCTCCCTGCATCTCAGTCTTGGGTGAGTGCTTGCAATTGAAAAGTCCTGTGTTCTTGGTTTAGCAAATAAAAGTAAAGACAAAACAAAAGCAAACAACCACAAAACTGCAGTCCCCCCCCCCCCACCACCACCACCACACACACACACACACAGTGCAGCTCAGTCCTCCTTTTGGAGCATAACCTTTCATGGCTATGGTCTTAGGTCTAGATTTCCCAGCCACAAACAGCCTTGTGGCTTTTACTTTTCACAAAGACTGTCTCCAAGGGATGCAGCCTTGGCGCAATGCTGCTTCCGCCTCACCCTCTCGGCTAGGTCTCTGGTGTCCCTCTCCAGCCTAGATCCCAGTTCCTACTGTTCTCCAGGTGTCCTCTGCCCTTCCTTATTGTAAATTGTCTCCTCAGCTGTGTCTGATTTGTTATTCTGGGTAGATGTTTTCCGATTTAGTTGCTTTTCCAGTCTGGCCCTGGGACAAGGTGCAAGACACGTCTGTCTATTTGTCCACGATTTTCTTCTCTCTAGATTTTTCTTTTTTATTTGATTTTCACAGATTTACTCTGCTGTGCCCAGTTTTATATTATAGTGTATTCTGCTTGAAATTTTTAGGAATTAAAAATATATTTTAGGCTTGCCCTGGAGGGTGTGGCTCAGTTAGTTGGAGTATTGTCCTGTACACTGAAAGGTGGTGGGTTCAATTCCTGTTTAGGGCACATACCCAAGTTGCAGGTTTGATCCCTGGTCAGGGAGTATATGGGAGGCAACCGATTGATGTTTTTCTCTCACACATCGATGTTTCTCTCTTTCTTTCTAAAAACCATTGGAAGACATCCATTATAGGTGAATTCTGGACATTATGTTTGAAAAATTTTAGAAGCTCTAAATCAGTGGTTATCAACCTTCTGGCCCTTTAAATACAGTTCCTCATGTTGTGACCCAACCATAAAATTATTTTCGTTGCTACTTCACAACTGTAATGTTGCTACTGTTATGAATCGTAATATAAATATCTGATATGCAGGATGGTCTTAGGCGACCCCTGTGAAAGGGTCGTTCGACCGCCAAAGGGGTTGCGACCCAGAGGTTGAGAACCGCTGCTCTAAATGATGCTGTTTCTGAATAATTTGTTACCTTTAGAGATTATTTAATTTGCTTCTGGCAGACCTATAGAGTATGGGCTGATCACCTCCATCTATTCCAGAACAACCTGTTTACTGTTTGTTTGTAATCCTGAGTATAGCCCTTCTGGGGGAAATCTTGGCTGATTATCAAGACTCTTCCTCTGTAGGGGCATTTGAACTCCAATTTCTATTTCTGCAGCACTTTGAGACTGCCAGAATCAATACTTAGATTCTTAGCCTTTTAGAAGTTATTTTGTGCTTACTTTCTTGACCATGGTAGATATTCAGCTTGAGTCAGTAAATGCCTTGGAGAAAATTCTATGTAGAATATTGGCTTAAATCAACATGTTGCTTTCAATCTAGGACCTTGGCTCTCTAGTTTTTGCTGCTTTAGTTGTTCATTAGTATCATCAGACAGTTTTTATTTTCATTAACATTTTTAGTTGTTTTCGGTGGGTTAGTCATAATACCAGCTTCTCCATTATAGCCAGAAATAGAAATCTCTTTTCCCATCTTTTGTTATAGTATTTCTATATTTTAGGGCAAATAACATGTAAATTATGTTTCATAACTCTAATTCTCACATTAACAACACAGCATGTTAATATTAGTGATAGAGTTCAAAGATTCAACGCTCATACCAATCCTTATAACTTAATTTTCTTTTTCTTTCTTTCCACATCTCTCTTGCTCTTCTTTAGTTTATTCCTTATTGCATTCCTCAAGAAAGACTTATAGGTCCTAGTGAAATGTACATATAACTTTACTTTATTCAAATACACATCCTCACACACTTCAGAATAACAATACCAATATAGTTATCAACAGTATGTTAAAAAACAACAACAGTATGTTTACTGAAATTTTTAAATATTTTTATTGTGTTTTTTACATTAACATAATACTATTTTACTTGTTGAAGTTCTTATTCTTGGTTGTTTATTTTTCCATATGGATTTTCCAATCAACATTTTTAATTCTAGGGAAAATAAATCCATTTGTATTTTTTATTTGGATTGCATTATTTTTGTTCTGCCTCTCTTTTTGTATAATATGCATCTGTTGGAATTTACAGCAAGATGGCATTTCTGAGGGGCATTAAAGAAGCTAATCATTAGACTGACATATTATTCTAATAAAAGACTCATATTCTAATTCTAGAGGAAAATAAATGATACTTTTCTTCTTCTTGAGTAGACTTTTCCACTGAGATACAGAATCCTAGAGTATTGATTTAATAAGCCAACTTATTATGGCCACCCTCATGCATTTGGGATTTCTCAGAGAGGAACCACTTAATGTTTCCTATGAAAGTTGCTTAACCCAAAGCAGGGACAGCACTTCCTGGAGGGAGTTTGGGGAGGTGCCCCAAAATGCTGCAGCATAGGTGGAGTTGTATCTTAATCTCTTTGGTTGTCCTGCTGAGATGTCCTCCAGACCTTCTGTAGTATGGAGGCAACTGGTGTTACCCTAATAAATAGGGATTTGGCAGTCATGAAAGCTGACCTAGATTTAGGGGTATCAGCTACTAAGACTTATCAATGGTAGCTGTATATATTTGTGACTGGGAAACCCCAAAGAAAAATATCTCCCTAAACTTTTAAAACACATACTTAAAAAGCCAACTATTCAAATGTACTTATAATATGGTGTTTAACCCTGCCAGTGTTGCTCAGTGGTTAAGCATCAACCTATGAACCAGGAGGTCACGGTTCAATTCCCAGTAGGGGCACATGCCCAGGTTGCAGGCTTGATCCATAACAGGGGGCATGCAGAAGGCAGCCCTCATCACCCCATTGTGTGTGTCCACGGGATACAAGTTCATTGATTGATCTCTTCCCACCCATCCTCCCCTGCCTTCCCTCTGAGCTTCCAACAGTCTGTTGTTCATGCTTCTATGTCTCTGGGTCTATTTTTTAAAATATATTTTTATTGATTCCAGAGAGGAAGAGAGAAGGAGAGAGAGATAGAAACATCAATGATGAGAGAGAATCATTGATCAGCTGCTTCCTGCATGCTCCACACTGGGGATTGAGCACACACCCAGGCATGTTGCCTTGATCGGAATCAAGCCCGGGTCCCTGTAGGCCAACGCTCTATCCATTGAGCCCAATCAGATAGGGCTGGGTCTATTTTTGTTCATCAATTTATTTGGTTCATTAGATTCCACATATGAGTTAGATCATGTGATACTTATCTTTCTCTGACTGACTTATTTCACTTAGCATAATACTCTCCAAGTCCATCCATGCTATTGCAAATGGTTCTTTCTTTTTTATTGCTGCATAGTATTCCATTGTGTAAATGTACCACTGTTTTTTTATCCACTCATCTGCTGATGGGCACTTGGGCAGTTTCCAGATCTTAGCTATTGTAAATTGTGCTGCTATGAGCACAGGGGTGCATATATTCTTTCTGACTGGTGTTTCAAGTTTCTTAAGATATATTACTAGAAGTGGGGCTTTCAGGTGTCTAGAGATTTTTTTGGTTAACATTCAATGCAAAAGTAGTAGATGGTTGAATTTTAAGGGATTCCCCATATGTATACTATCATTTTATCTGAAGTAATAAGTAAACTATTATCTTTAAAGTGCCTGAATCAGAAAATAAATAAATAAATGAATGAATAAATAAATAATCCCTGTATAGTTTTAACAAATCAGGTGATTCTTATCCACCCTTAAACCAGGTCTTCGCTGATTTAACTTCTTTCTCCAATCATTAGGTTCACTTCCTTTCCTGGACTTCCCTTATTCTTTTTTCTTTGCCCCCTTTTTAATGTTTGAGAATACAGTCTGTTTCATAATATAATTAATACTCCATAATACAAATTAGCTTAATAGTGCTATGAAATAGGGAATGATATCAATATAGTGTTGAAGTTAGTTGGTTTACAGGCAATATTCTTAGTTGAATGGAGCCAGAATATTAGTATATTTATAACATTCAGAAGGAAAGGCAAAAAACTTCATTTTGATGTGTTGTTATGAGCCCTTCCACCCCTATATTAAGAAAATTAATAATAAATGCTTACATTCAGGGATCCCTCCTCATAGACATATACAATCAACTTGCATAGCTTCTAGCTAGACACCTTGCACTTCACCTGATTCCCACCTTAATGTTAGCCTCACTGGCCTGGGGCTTCATTTCATGTGCAACATTTCAGCACCTGAAATCCAGCATTTCCACTTTATTTTTATGCATTTTAAATTTTTTTATTGATTTCAGAGGGGAAGGGAGAGGGAGATAGAAACATCAATGGTGAGAGAGAATCATTAATCAGCTGCTTCCTGCACGCCCCCTACTGGGGATTGAGCCCACAACCCAGGCATGTACCCTGACTGGGAATCGAACTATGACCTCCTGGTTCATAGGTCAATGCTCAACCACTGAGCCATGCCAGTGGGGCAATTTTTATGCATTTTAATACCCACGAAATGGCCTTCAGCCATACTGAGTTGCTTTTTGGGACCTTGAGGTCCCTATTATATTACTAGTAGTTAGTGCTCTGCTAATACAGTTACATAGACTTGAGTGTTCTTCTCCAGCCCTACTTTCTTCATAAACCCTAGCTTTGGTGTGTAATTTTGCAGGAGTTAGTTTTTTTAGGTACATGTGTAGTATTGTAGCACAAATGCCTATGTTCTAGAGATGTCTAATTCATTCACTTGTAATATGCATTATTTTAGGTCCCCTTTATTTCTCTGTAAAAGTTTTCTTCCTGCTGGAACAGAAAATAGCATGTGTTTGCTTTCTTCTTTTCTTTCAGATTTGGACTCCAGATACAGGACTAATACTTTATCTTCAGAAAAGGATATTTGTGAAATATATTCATTCCAATTGGAAGTAATGGAAAAAATTAAAAGCTATTGCCTTCAGGACTCCATTTTTAGAAATGATTGGGAATGCAAAAGTAAGATTGAGGGGCAAATGGAACCACAAGAAGGATGTTTGGGGCAAGTGGAAATTACTTCTGAAAAAATGACCACATACAAAAAGCATAATTTTCTCGCTGAATATCAGAGAGTTCATAATAGGGAAAAGTTATATGAATGTAAGGAATGTAGGAAGACCTTTATTCGTCGCTCAACACTTAGTCAACACCTGAGAATTCATACTGGTGAGAAACCTTATAAATGTAAGGAATGTGGGCAGGCTTTTAGACAACGTGCACACCTTATTCGACATCACAAACTTCATACTGGTGAGAAACCCTATCAATGTAAGGAATGTGGGAAGGCCTTTACAGTGCTCCAAGAACTTACTCAACATCAGAGACTCCATACTGGTGAAAAGCCCTATGAATGTAAAGAATGTGGAAAGGCCTTTAGAGTACATCAGCAACTTGCTCGACATCAGAGAATTCACACTGGTGAGAAACCCTATGAATGTAAGGCGTGTGGGAAGACCTTTAGGCAGTGTACACACCTTACTCGACATCAGAGACTTCATATTGCTGAGAAGCTCTATGAATGTAAGCAATGTGGGAAAGCCTTCGTGTGTAGTCCAGACCTTCGAGTACATCAGAAAATTCATTTTGGTGAGAAGCCCTATGAATGTAAGGAATGTGGAAAGACTTTTAGAATATGCCAACAACTTACTGTCCATCAGAGTATTCATACTGGTGAGAAACCCTATGAATGTAAGGAATGTGGGAAGACTTTTAGATTAAGACAACAACTTGTTCGCCACCAGAGAATTCATACTCATGAGAAGCCCTATGAATGTATGGAATGTTGGAAGACCTTTAGTAGTTACTCACAACTTATTTCACACCAGAGCATTCATATTGGTGAGAGACCTTATGAATGTGAAGAATGTGGGAAGGCCTTTAGACTGCTTTCTCAACTTACTCAACATCAGAGTATTCATACTGGTGAGAAACCCTATGAATGTAAGGAATGTAGAAAACCCTTTAGACTGCTCTCACAACTTACTCAACATCAGAGTATTCATACTGGTGAGAAACCTTATGAATGTAAGGAGTGTGGTAAGGCTTTTAGACTTTATTCATTTCTTACTCAACATCAGAGAATTCATACAGGTGAGAAACCCTACAAATGTAAGGAATGTAAGAAGGCCTTTAGACAGCATTCACACCTTACTCAACATCAGAAAATTCATAATGAAATTTAGTACAAGAAAGCCTTGATGTGTACATTATGTTACAGAATATCACAAAATTCATTTTGAGAATTGTTTTCATGCTCACATCAAAGCATAAGAAATTTTATATGACAGGAAAAATTTTGCTTTAAAAGCCTTCCTTCACCATTCAAACATTGCCTCTGGCAAATGTATGTCAGAGAATAATACAATTAATATAAGAAAAGCTTTAGCTTTCTTTATCATTGTCTCCATTTCACCACTTTATTACCACTTTGTTACTGGACAAGGTACTTAAACTTCTGTGACTCATTTTGTTCACGTGTAAAATGGTGATGATATGTATATTATTTATTGCTGTATAATAAATTACCACAACTTAATTAATAGCTTAAAATAATACATATATATTATTTCACAATTTCTATGGATTGGGAGTCTGGGTGTAACTTAGTTGGGTCTTCTGCTTCAGAATTTCTCATGAGGCTAAAATCAAGATTTTAGCTAAGGCTGGGTCTGATCTGAAGGCTCAACTGGGAAAGGGATCCACTTCCAACCTCATATGGTTGTTGGCTGAATTTATTTTCTTGAGGGCTACTGCACTGAGGTCCTAAGTTTCTGACTGTTGGCAAAAGGCTGACCTCAGTTCCTTGCCACATAGGCCTCTTTAACATGGCTGCTCCATCAACAAATAGTCTGCTAGAATCATAAAATTTATAATCTTGTGTAGTCTAATCACTGAAGGAATATTTCATCACTTTATGTCTTCTACTGGCTAGAAGCAAATTTCTAGGTCGCCTACACTCAAGGGAAGAGGATTCCATAAGAGTGTGAAGACCAGGAGGTAGGGTCCACTGAGACCAGTTTAGAGTCAGCCTGTGTACACTGTAATAGAATTGTAAGGATTAAATAATTAATACTTGGAAAAATAGCAGCCACAAAGCATGTTTTCTGTACATATTATCTGTAATTGTTATCATTAGTATTAGTGAATTCATATGAAAGGAATTTCCTATAGAAGTAAAAAATTGAGAAATGCTTCCTATTACTGTCCAGCACTTATTTAATTTATTCTGGATAAAACCTAGGATGTTATATTGAATGTGAAAAGTTCATCATTTAAGCTGCATCGGAAATTTCATGCTGAAAAGAAAACCCTAAGATTTTCATGAATATGACGTTGTTAAGAGTACAACTATTGCCCTGACCGGTTTGGCTCAGTGGATTGAGCGTCGGCCTGCGGACCAAAGGGTCCAAGGTTCGATTCCAGGTTGCGGGCACATCTCCAGTAGGGGGCATGCAGAAGGAAGCTGATTGATGTTTCTCTCTCATCGATGTTTCTGACTCTCTATCCCTCTCCCTTCCTCTCTGTAAAACATCAATAAAATATATTTTAAAAAAAGAGTACAACTATTGAAGAATCAAAGAGAAGCATGAAATTATTTCCCCATAATAAATTTCTGAAAGTAAAGATTTATTATCTCTATTGTCTAAGCACCATTCAAAATTAATTAGAAACTATCAAAAAGATGTCAAAAAGGAAATAAATCATTTGTAAATTTAATATTGTATGTGCATATTCATGCATGTGTGTTTGTGTGCATAAAACACTTGTATAAAAGAAAACATTTTTTTACAGTCAGTATAACTTTTGGTGCTCAAATTGTCCCATCTTCAACCAGTGGGAGTTGGGTCTTTTGAAATGAACCCCCTAGCAGTTAGTTTACTTGGTTATGGCTATACAATTCGTCAGCTATGGATGGTGCCTAGGCACTGACTCATCCTAAAAATTGGCAAGGGTTAAATAATTTATTTTGTTTTTCCCTTTTGAACGAAGTTTCACAGCCATCAAAAACTCAAATTGATTTTTAAATCTAGTAAATACAGAGAGATTCATAAGATTAGAAAAATCACCACTCTCTAGTTTCCTAATGGAATAATGGATCCAGAAGATAATTGGTAAATATCACAACTATTAAGTGAAAGATTTTATAAGTGAGAATGCTAGAATGGATTTGTAAAGCTGACCACCTTGAATCTGTTCATCAATTTTAGCCTCTATAAAAGTGGGACTATCAGACTATTCACCTCCTGAAAGAATGCAATAGGAAGTATGCACCACTACTTATAAAACCTTATTTCCAACATCATGAACTGAAGGAATTAAACCTTTAAGTCAAATTATTTTAAACCAAGAATTTGTGGAATAGATGAATAAAATAAATGGCAACACAACCAAGCAGCCAAACAGATTCAGAATGTGTAAAATTCTACAAACAACCTGCTTTCTTCAACTAATGAGTGGCATGAAAAAGAAAGGAAGGGCAACTGTTAGATTAAAAGACAAGAGACATATCAACTAAATTTAGTGTATGGGCATTACTTGGACCTACTTTGAACAAAATGTGAAAAGATTTTGGAGACTGGGGAAAATGTGGACATGCGCCAAGTTAATTAGATGATATTTAGAAATAATTTTGTTAAGGATGATCATGTCAATGTGGTTATTAAGAAATGTGAGTGCTCCTGTGTGTAGAGATACATGTTTATATGTTTATGAAATTACTAGAGGCCCGGTGCATAAAAATTCATGCACACGGGGGGATCCCTCAGCCCAGCCTGCACCCTCTCACAGTCTGGGACCCTTGGGGGATGCCCACCTGCTGGCTTAGGCCTGCTCCCCAAGAACGGATGATCTAAAAGAAATAATCATAACCTTGGGTAAGGATTTTCTAAAAAGGTAATGTTTGCATGAAAATTCACTGCTGGCGGGGCTGAGGGGATTGGGGGACTCTGGCAGCAGGTGTGCGGAGTGGCTGGACCCGCCTGGGGGTGGGCCCGGCCACACTGTGCGCCTGACGGTCCCCCCTAGTACCCCCCCACCACTCCCTTGCTACCCCCCCCCCACGGGGTTGAGGGGACTGGGCACCACCATATTGTGGCTGTGGGTGCCGCCACCTTTGTGAGGACATGATGGTCAATTAGCATATTACCTCTTTATTATATAGAATAAGATATCCAGATTTACATTAAAATACTCCAACAATAGAAAAAGAATGAAAGAGAACTGGAAAGTAGGTTGACAAAATGTCGATAATTAATTAAGTGGAGTGGTTTGTATATGGGGGTTCATAATAATATTTCTACTGTTTGTTTTTAAAGGTTTTAATAAAAATATTTAATATCAAAACAAATTATAGACTACTTAGAAATTATTGTTAATGAGATTCCTGTATATGTAAACTTGTCAGATATCACAAAAGTTCTATTCAGGAAGAAATGAATATCCTTTAATAAGTTAAGGAAACTGGACACAGTCTTGATCTTTTTCACTTATCCACAGCAGTCAAATCTGGATCTGTCACATCCATAAATGTGATTAAGGAATGAAAAAAGCATTTATGTCAAGACATCAGAAACAGAAGAAAATAAAACCAACACCAGAGAAATAAAGTACCTTTAAAAAATAGAAATTAAGAGACTAGACAATATAGTAGACTTAATTGAATGTTTTTTAAAGTTTTTTTCAATTACAGTTGACATTCAATATTATATTAGTTTCAGGTGTACAGCATAGTGGTTAGACATTTATATAACTTAAGAAGTGATCCCTCAATAAGGCTTAGTTCCCACCTGACATCACACATAATTATTACAATATTAGAAGCCCAGTGCACGAAATTCATGCACTGGAGGAGGATTGTCCCTCAGCCCGGCCTGCACCCTCTCTAATCTGGGACCCCTCGGGGGACATCCCTCTCACAATCCTGGACTGCTGGCTCCTAACCACTCGCCTGCCTGCCTGCCTGATTGCCCCTAACCATGTCTGCCTGCCAGCCTGATCACCCCCTAACAGCTCCCCTGCTAGCCTGATTGACACCTAAATGTTCCCCTGCTGGCCCAATCACCCCCAACTGCCCTCCCCTGCTGGCCTGATTGCCCCCAACTGCCCTCCCCTGCCGGCCATCTTGTGACAATGTGAGGGCAGGCATCGTGTGACGACATGGGGGCAGCCATCTTGTGATTTGAGGGCAGGAGAGTCAATTTGCATATAACCTCTATTATATAGGATTACTGACTATTTTCTTTTTCTTTATTTTCTTGTTTAAAGTATTACAAATAGTAGTACATATGTCTCCTTTTTTTCCCCATTGACCTTCCCCCGGCCTCCCTTACCCCCCAGCACATGCCCTTACCCACCCCCCCAGTGTCTTGTGTCCATTGGTTATGCTTATATGCATGCATATAAGTCCTTTGATTGATCTCTTACCCCCCCCCCCAACACTCCCCAGCCTTTCCGCTGTAATTTGACAGTCTGTTCGATGCTTCTCTGCCTCTATATCTATCTTTTTGGTCATTAGGTTATAATGTTCTTTATTACCCATAAATGAGTGAGGTCATGTGGTATTTTTCTTTCACTGCCTGGCTTATTTCACTTAGCATAATGCTCTCCAGTTCCATCCATGCTGCTGCAAATGGTAAGAATTCCTTCTTTTTTTATAGCAACGTAGTATTCCATTGCGTAGATGTACCACAGTTTTCTAATCCATTCATCTGCTGATGGGCATTTAGGCTGTTTCCAAATCTTAGCTATTGTAAATTGTGCTGCTATGAACATAGGGGTGCAAATATCCTCTCTGGTTGGTGTTTCTAGTTTCTTGGGATATACTCCTAGAAGTGGGATCACTGGGTCAAATGGCATTTCCATTTTTAAATTTTTGAGGAAACGCCATACTGTTTTCCACAGTGGCTGTACCAGTTTGCATTCCCACCAGCAGTGAAGGAGGGTTTCTTTTTCTCTGCATCCTCTCCAGCAATTCTCATTTGTTGATTTGTTGATGATAGCCATTCTGACAGATGTGAGGTGGTACCTCATTGTCATTTTGATTTGAATCTCTGATGATTAGTGACTTTGAGCATGTTTTCATTTGTCTCTTGGCTTTATGAATGTCCTCTTTCAAAAATTGTCTAGGTCCTTTGCCCATTTTTTGATTGGGTTGTTTATCTTCCTTTTGTTAAGATGTACGAGTTCCCTGTAAATGTTGGAAATTAAACTCTTATCAGAGATAACATTGGCAAATATGTCCTCCCATGCAGTGGGATTTCTTGTTGTTTTGTTGATGGTTTCTTTTGCTGTGCAGAAGCTTTTTATTTTGATGTAGTCCCATTTGTTTATTTTCTCCTTAGTCTCTCTTGCCATAGGACAGGGGTTGGCAACCTTTTTGTGAGTGCGTGCCAAAACCAGCAAAATCTCTGACTCAAAATTCTTCTGGATGCCAACCTTAATTTTTTGAGAACATGATATGCCTACTTGATATCTCTTAAGGTGTACATATGTGAAGAACCTTGAAGAAATAATAAAATTCATTTGAGCGAGAAAAGCACAGTATATGATGATGAAAAATACATTTATTTTTTAATGTATACATGTACACTGATAGTCTGATAGAAAACTTTATGACTCCGTTTGATATTATCAGTGGGACTTTTGCTGCTGCATCACTGATGACAAAGATTTTACATCAGGTTTATATTTCGTGACCTTCAGAGATATGCACGAGCTACTACTTTCATCTGTCAGGCTACTCCTATTACAACACTTAACAAAATTCATCACTGAGAACAAAGATTCACAATTGTAAATGGAAGATTATAAGAGGGTTTCGCGTGCCAGCAACAGTTACTGGCGTGCCATGTTTGGCACGCGTGCCAGGGGTTGCCCACCCCTGCCCTAGGATCTGTGTCTGTAAAGATATTGCTACGACTGACATATGTCTGCAGTTTTGCTGCCTATGGAGTCTTGTAGGATTTTTATGGTTTCCCAACTTACATTCAAGTCCTTTATCCATTTTGAGTTTCTTTTTGTGTATGGTGTAAGCTGGTGGTCTAGTTTCATTTTTTTGCATGTATCTGACCAAATTTCCCAGCACCATTTATTAAAGAGACTGTTTTGACTCCATTGTATGCTCTTGCCTCCTTTGTCAAATATTAATTGAGTATATTGGCTTGGGTCAATTGCTGGATCCTCTATTCTGTTCCATTGGTCTATATTTCTGTTCTTGTGCTAGTACCAGGCAGTTTTGAGAACTGTGGCTTGGTAATATAGTTTGGTGTCTGGTATTGTGATCCCTCCAACTTTGTTCTTTCTCAGGACAGCTGTGGCTATTTGAGGTCTTTTTTTTATTCCAGATGAATTTTTGGAGAGTTTGTTCTAGATCTTTGAAATATGCCGTTGGTATTTTAATAGGTATTGCATTGAATTTATAGATTGCTTTAGTTAGTATGGACATTTTGATTATGTTGATTGTACCAATCCATGAACATGGTATGTTCTTCCATTTGTGTACATCTTCCTCTATCTCTTTTTTCAATGTTCTGTAGTTTTCCGAGTACAGGTCTTTTACGTTCTTGGTTAAGTTTATTCCTAGGTATCTTAGTTTATTTGGTGCAATGGTAAATGGGATTGTTTTTTCATTTCTCTTTCTGTGAGTTCATTATTGGTGTAAAAAAAGGCCATAGATTTCTGGGAGTTAATTTTGAATCCTGCTACATTGCCAATTTCATTTATTAGGTCTAGTAGTGTTTTGATGGAGTCTTTGGGGTTTTCTATGTATAGTATCATGTCATCTGCAAATAAGGATAGTTTTACTTCTTCATTTCCAATTTGGATGCCTTTTATTTCTTCTTCTTGTCTGATCACTATGGCTAGTACTTCTAGTACTATGTCAAACAGGAGTGGTGAAAGTGGGCTTTCTTGTCTTGTTCCTGTTCTTAGGGGAAATGGTTTTAGTTTTTGCCCATTGAGTATGATGTTGGCTGTAGGTTTGTCATATAGGGCTTTTATTATGTTGAGGTATGATCCCTCTATTCCCACTTTGCTGAGAGTTTTTATCAAGAAAGGGTGTTGGATTTTGTCAAATGCTTTTTCTGCATCAATTGATATGATTATGTGATTTTTGTCTCTCAGTTTGTTTATGTGATGTATCACATTTATTGATTTGTAGATATTGTACCATCCTTGCATTCCTGGAATAATTCCGACTTGGTCATGGTGTATGATCTTTCTAATGTATTGCTGAATCCGATTTGCTAGAATTTTGTTGAGGATTTTAGCATCTATGTTCAACAAGGATATTGGCCTGTAGTTCTCTTTTTTGTGGTGTCTTTATCTGGTTTTGAAATTAGGGTGATGCTGGAGTCATAGAAAGAGCTTGGAAGTGTGCCTTCCTCTTGAATTTTTTGGAATAGTCTGAGGAGGATAGGTTTTAGTTCTTTGAATGCTTGGTAAAATTCCCGTGTAAAGCTGTCCAGACCAGGGCTTTTGTTTGCTGGAAGAGTTTTGATCGCTGTGTCAATTTGTTCAGTAGTTATAGGCCTATTCAGGTTTTTTGATTCTTCTTGGTTGAGTTTTGGGAGCTTGTATTTTTCTAAGAATATGTCCATTTCGTCTAGGACTAGGTTGTCCTTTTTTTGGAATAGAGTTGTTCATAGTATTTTTTCATAATTATTTGTATTTCTGTGGGATCGGTTGTTGTTTCACCTCTTTCATTTCTGATTTTGTTTATTTGGGTCCTCTTTCTTTCCTCCTTGGTGAGCCTGGCTAGAGGTTCATCAATCTTGTTTATCCTTTCAAAGAACCAGCTCTTGGTTTCATTGATCATGTGTATTGTCTTTTTGGGCTCTATGTCATTTATATCTGCTCTGATCTTTATTATTTCCTTCCTTCTGCTTATGCTGGGCTTTTCTTGTTGCTCTCTTTCTAACTTTTTGAGTTGTCAGGTTAGGTAATTTAATACCATTGTTTCTT